TTTATTCAGTTAATTCAGAGGTGAAATCAACACTAGTACTCGCACTTCTTGTTGTGCACTTGGCCTTGGTACCCTGACCGAGGTCAGGACAAGCCCTGGCCATGTGTGAAGGTCTCAGTCCAGGCAGCTGACAGGAGTAGCTTTGAACTGTGTCCTGGTGGTAACAGGGAAAGACAGTGAGGAGCTGACATGAGAGGGTCCCACGAGAGAACGAGCAGTGAAATGGAGTGTGAGCCCCACAATTCAGTGTGTTTAGAGAAGTAGCAGTGGTGACATCACATGGGAGCTTGATAGAAATGCCGACTCTCAGGTTCCCCTCAGACCTACTGAATCAACTTCTGTGTTTTAGCAAGATACCCTCGTGACACCTGTGCACCTGAAGTCAGAGAAGCCCTGCATAAGCATTTTTTACTTTGGAGGAAAATACACCTTGATTGCCACTCCGACTCTTACTAGTGGTGTGACCTTGGCCAAGTTAAAACACCCTCATTGCACCTTAGTTGTTTGGCTGTAAAATGGGGATAATATCGCCTTTCTCTTGAGGTGGTCGAGGGAATCAGACAAGTGTATTTGTGTCAGGGACTCATCACACGGTCAAAGCCCAACAAACTGAGTTGTGCTTGACAATAAGAAAAAGAAGTCAAGAGCAGGGGACATTAGGGAGGCACCTTATGCCTTAAACCCCACAGTCGTCATCACCAACAATGCTTGTACTCTTTGCAGATCTAAGAAAATAGCAAAAGCTGGAGCTTCATGAGCTTCTATAGACTGTGGTGTGGTCCTTGTCAACGACCCAGTTGGCAGAAATAAATAGACCAAACATCCTAAACTCCTAGATGTGCTCCATCAGCCTGGCCCGAGTTACACCTGCTCTGTTCGTTACTCTCCATTTGAAATTAATGTAGCAGGAATTTTCAGGACACCCCGGAGGAGAAAGGCTGTAGTAAAGAGAACAGATGAGGTTAGAGGAAGGAGACTGGGGTGAGATGAGCCCTTGTCTTATTAGTAGAGTTTAAGAACGGGAAAGAATGCCATGTGATTTCACTGATATGTGAACAAAATAAATGAACAAACAAAACTGAAACAGACTCTAGACACAGATTACAGACAGGCGGTTGCCTGAGGGGAGGGGAGGGGCGACTGGGTGAAAAAGGGGAGGGGATTAAAAAGTATAAGTTAGTTACAGAGTAGTCAGGGGATGTAAAGTACAGCATAGGGAATGTAGTTAGTAGTATTGTAATGACTCTCTATGGTGCCAGGTGGGTACTGGCAATATCAGGGAACACTTTGTAAAGTATATGATTGTCTAACCACTATGCTGTACTCCTGAAACTAATACAAAATAATATTTAAAAATTTTTTTTTCTTCATTGAGTTTTTTAGAGAGAGAGGAAGGGAGAGGGAGCGAGAGATAGACACATCAATGAGCGAGAACATCAATTGGCTGCTTCCTGCATGCCCCCCACTGGGCACTTGGGCCACAACCTGGGCACGTGCCCTGACTGGGAATCGAACTGGCCACCCCTTGGTGCATGGGTCACTGCTCAACCACTGAGCCATACTGGCTGGGCAGAAAATAATACTGAATGTAAACTGCAATTGAAAAAATTGTCTAACTCAAAAAAAAAAAAAAAAAGAATAGGAAAGCATTTTCAGGTTGACTTCACCTATGTTGCGCGGGCCGCTGGAGACGAGTTCTTCTCGCACACGTGCAAGCAGCCGGCGTGCAAGCAGCCGGCGTGCAAGCAGCCGGCATGCAAGCAGCCGACGTGCTGCCTGCTGCTGCCGTGGTGCCTGCCTCCCCAGCCAGGAACCGCTTTTTGGAGACCAGACTCTTGTGAACCAGTGGGAGAGTGAATACTTCCAACGTGAGATAAAACAGAACTTGAATCATGACTGAGTGTCCAGCAGAGTTCCAACAGCCAAGATGGTAAAAGGGGGGAAAGGAGAAGGGGTTCAAATGGGAAACTTCAAGCTGCAGAATAAGATTAAATAAGAATACCGCCCTGGCCGGTTTGGCTCAGCGGTTGGAGCATCGGCCTGTGGACCAGAGAGTCCCAGGTTCGGTTCCCGCTAGAGGCACGTACCCAAAAACAGAAAAAAGAATACCGACCCAAATTCCTTCTGAAAACAGTATTAAAGTTGATTATGTTCAGTGATGACTAGTCCTATGTATACAGGTGTTTGGGGGATTGATTTGTGTTCTAGGTGTTTTTCAGGAGAACATTTTTCCAATCTTTGATTTAAATCAGAACAGGTGTGCGTGATTTTTCTTAAATTTTCTGATTCTATAAATATTTATTGTTATAGATTCAGAAAATACAGGAAATACAGAGAACAAGAAGCATGCCCAAACCCGGCACCTGCTTATCTCTTCTTTTATTCATCAGTTATGTATAAAGTACCTGCTGGGCGCCGGACAGTGTGCTTGGTGCTGGGCGAACCCTCGCTGACTAGGTGGCTTTGTTGAGTCTTCTTAGGCTCCAGTTAACTGGCTAAGTGTGGGTGTGTTTCAGCATTTTTTTTTCTGTGCCCTTATTGACTGTGTGATAGCAGACGATAAGAGCGAATAAGTTTACTGTGTTCTTGCTGTGTTCTGGATCCTGTTTTAGGTGGTTTATGTCATGTGTATTCTCCCTCTAGCATCACGATGAGGGAGGTGCTGTTAGTTCCACTTGACAGATTGGGAAACTGAGGCACAAAGAAAGTAAGCAATTTACTACAGGTCACAGAATCAAGAAAGGCAGAGTCTTGATTTAAAACCTAGACAGCCTGGCTCCAGAGCCTGACCCGTTAACCACTGACCTGTACTGCCTCTCACAATATTATAATATTGAGATCATACTATATAGATAGTTTTGATTCCTGCATTTATATTGGCCATTAACATGTAAGCATCTTCCTATAATGTACATAAACGGTGTATTATTTATTACCTCTAAAAGAAGAATTTTGTTTCGTAGAGTCAAAATGAAATAAGCATATATAGAAATGTGGTGATAAGCATTTAAATGCTTCAGAGATCATTAAGATTTCTCAGTGCTTATAGTTTTTATTTTTCAAGTGCAGTTTCCACTCAGTATTATTATTATCATTATTATTATTTTAATCCTTACCTGAGGACATTTTTTACATCTATCTTCAGATAGAGTGGGAGGGAGAGAGGGAGGAAGAGAGAGAGAAACATCGATGCAAAAGAGACACATTGAGTGGTTGCCACCCACATGACCCCAACCGGGGCCGGGGACAAACTGCAACTGAGGTATGTGCCCTTAGTGGGAACCGAACCCGAGACTCTCTGGTCCACGGGCCAGCACTCTATCCGCTGAGCCAAACCAGCCAGGGCTCCATTCAGTATTATTTTGTATTCATTTCGGATGTACAGCATGGTGGTTAGACAGGCATATATTTTACACAGTATTCCCCTCATCATAATTTTTTTAATCCAGTAATTTCAAGAGAAGTTAACACGGACAAGTTACTTTAGGAAATTAAACATGCTGTAGCTTGTATTTCTTTCATAGCAGGAAAGCAAACCCAACTTCAGATGAAGACAGTGAGCAGTCGATGCTGATGACAGTCTTGGAACGTTTCCGTAACATGGAACAGTGTTGGAGCTGTCGACTAGGAGAGATTGTACATTATAGTACGGGTGACCGGGAGACTCCAGTTGCCTGGGAAGGGCTTCTCATGGCATGTGTTCAGACCATGACTCTATTTAGGTTCAGTTTAGACAGAAGTTCCCAAGAGTGAGTGGTGTTGGGGGGGGGGGCGTCCATTTGTGCACGTACTTGTGCTGCTCTTCCCAGCAAGACTGCTAGTGAGCTGGGAGCTCTCTGCGTGTTTGCATTTGTGAGTATATAGTGTCTGCAGCTGAGAAAGGTACAGACTCATGGGCTGTAAAGAGATGTCAGCTAGTAAATAGAAATTTTAAAGTGGGCGACGTAGGAAACATTTGAATGGTGGGGGGATCCAGCGGAAAACAGGGACTTCCAAGTCCTGCTCGGACATAGGCTGGGATCCTGATGCACCTGCTTATTCCCTGTGTGACTCTAGGCAAGTTCCTTGGCTTCTCTGACCCTTAGTTTCCTCTTCAGGCAAATCCCTGCCTTCTTGAATTGTCCTCATAATTGAATTAGTCACTCGACATAAAACACCTGGTACGGTGCCCAGCACTTGGTAGAGGATCCGTTAATGGTCATGTTATTATTGGCTATTCAGTAGGTTTTAATCTTCGCCCTGGCCGGTTTGGCTCAGCGGTAAGAGCATCAGCCTGTGGTCCAGAGAGACCCGGGTTCGGTTCCCGCTGAGGGCACGTACCTTGGTTGCAGTCCGTCCCCGGCCTTGGTTGTGTAGTGCAGGTAGCAAACACTTGGTGTGTCCCTTTCGCGTAGATGTTTCTCTCTCTCTCTCCCACTCTATCTGAACAAAAAGTGGAAAAGTGTCCTCAGGTGAGGATAAAATAAATAGGTTTTAATCTTCTTTCAAAACACCTAGCCATATAACAGAGCGGTTAGGAACGCATATGAAAGTGAAGCTAGGTCCAGTCCTGGCTGTACTGTTTCCCAGCTGTGTGACCCTGGGCATGTTATTTAAATCCCCTGTGCTTCAGGGTGCTTTCTTTTAAACCTCGTAGTTACAGTACCTACCACTTAGAGCCTTTGGGTGTTATGTAAATTATTATGCACAGTGGGCACTAGGTGAGTGCCCTTGTTATTGACGTAGTCATTACTCAGAAGAAGATACATTTACACCTTAAAACGTAGGCATCTTTGACTATTTCCTCAGCTGCTACAACTTCTGCTGACTATTTGATATGTTGTTAGGTGTTCATAGTTCAAATGTAGTTTATTATGGTGCATATTAAACATGAATCCTCAGTTTGGGCGATATCATTATGTTCTATGTGAACGAGCAGAATTTTCTGATTTGACACCACGTTTAAATATAAGTTTTTATTGAGAAATGACCACTCTGAAAATGTTCTTTTCCTTCTCCAGATTATTCGGAGCTGGGAGAGCTTCCCCCGAGATCTCCCTTAGAGCCAGTCTGTGAAGACGGGCCCTTTGGCCCTGTACCCGAGGAGAAGAAAAGGACGTCTCGCGAGCTCCGAGAACTGTGGCAAAAGGCAATTCTGCAGCAGATACTCCTCCTGAGGATGGAGAAGGAAAATCAGAAGCTCCAAGGTTGGTTTGCCGACTTTGAGATGGAACAGGTCCGATGATCTCAGTTTATCTTGGCTTTGAAGTGAAATCACATCAGGCATAAACGTGCTATCTTTAAAAGAAAGCAAGATCCTCTCACATACATGAATATGTATATGTGTATATATGTAAATATCTATTGTCAAAGTAAACAGGACTTTCAGGAGATCTAATGATTGCACCAACTGTATTAGTTATTCCTACATGGTCATTTTTAGCCCAATGTCGAACTGAGAGACAACTTGCAAATACAAGCTTTAACCTTCTAAAGTGGATTCTGCGTTCTTCTTTCCTCTCTCTCCCTACTTTGTCCTCAGCCACAGTCTCCCTGGGTGGTATAATGAACTACTCCCAAATGACCATTAAGTTTATATCTGTGTGCGTTTTTATTAGCCCTACCTGTACTGATATCAAGGTGTTCCGTGTAGACAGACTCATTCGATCCCGAGGGCAGCTCCAGGAGGCAGGGATTCACCTGAAGAGGAAACTAAGGGTCAGAGAAGCCAAGCAAGGTGCCCAGGGTCATGCCAGGATCAAAATAAGACATGAACTTTGAAAGTTTAGATATTGCTCATGTCCTGTTTCCATGCTGTCCCTTGAAGCAGTAAGTATTATTTTCGAAGTGGCTAAGAAGCTAAGTTCATGTTCCCTGGGTGGTGTGATGGAAGGAGCAAGGGTCTGAGGCCAGGGAGAGAGCCTGGTTCTAACCCAGTGAGGGTTTCGCTCCGGAAGTCTGGACAGACTCCCGAAGCAGGACCATGCAGTGGTTCAGGCATGCCGTCCCTCCCAGGGAGATTTGGGAATCAGAGTACGGTGGCCCCCTGTAGCTGTGGTTTCCCTTTCTGGGCTTCCAGTCACCTATGGTCCGAAAATATTAAATGGAAAATTCCACAAAGAAACAGTTCATAAGTTTCAAATGGCGTGCTGCTCTGAGGAGGGTGATGTAATCCCGAGCTGCCCCACTCCATCCTGCTTGGCACCCGAATCGTCCCTTTGTCCGAAGTGTCCTCGCTGTCTACACTGTTCGCCCGTGAGTCACTGAGCCGCCGTCTTGGTTATCAGACCCACTGAGTCACGGAGCGGCAGCGCTTGTGTTCAGGTGACCCTTGTTTTACTTAATGACGCCCCGAAGCACAGGAGTGGTGGCGCTGGGCACTCGGACATGCCAGGGAGAAGGCATGAAGTGCCTCCTTTAAGTGAAAAGGCGAGTATGTATAGGAAAGAACACAGTGTAGATAGGGTTCCATACTGCCGGGGTTTCAGGCCGCCACTGCAGGTCTGGGGCGTACCCCCTGTGGATCCGGGGGTACTGCTGCACATTTCATTGAACTTCCTCCCTGATTGTCGGTCTTCATCTTTTGATAATGATGTTGCTGTTTGTAAAGAGCTGAAAGTCATTAAAACACTGGATTTGATGAATGGCGGTTCATAGTACGGGTAGGTTTATTATCTCTGAGCAGAAACACGTAGTGAAATATAAAGTCCTAAGACCTGTTGATATGAAAGTAGTCCGACAGCTGTAGACATAGGCTGCTTATGGACATAGACACTGTAGACCTGAGAGACGGGCCCTCCCACGGAGCTGCCGACAGTAAAGGCTTCTCCCAGCTCCATTCTTCCATTTTCTTGTGGGTTTCTGAAGGTAACTCTCAGAGTTTGATCGTCACACCATCACTGAGCGTGTCATCGGCTGAGTGGCAGCTTTGGAGCCCAGCACTGACATTCACGGCCTGTTGGTTGGGATTTTGTTGGAAACAGAAAGGCAGTCATGTTTATCACGAATGTCATAAACCTTTGTGCCTGTCCTGGCCAGTCATGCAGTTGACAGCCACAGAAATTCAGGGCTCAGCTGTGAACTGGGAATGATGCCGGCTGGCCTCTTGGGGATGTCGGGAAGAACTGTGACTGTCATTGATGAGATCAGGATACCACAGAAGCAAAGCTTCTGTCAACCTGGGTAGATGGTGACTTGCCAGACTAGAAGGAACTGGGACATTTCCGAAGGTTGCCTGGAACACCTTGCCAGGTATTGTTGTATGCGTTCCTGGCCCCACCCAGCATCTTTCTACTGCTTCCTCATTTCACCTGTCAGTGTTCAGTCCTGTGTGGGCTTTTGTTTGTACTGCTGGGATTCATCTTCTCTCCTTTGCTCTGTGAGATTCAGCACATGTTTACCTTTGTGGTGAACGCATAGTAACTTGCTAAATATAATATAGAAAGCATTGTATCGGCATGTACAGTGCCTATATCACTGAGAAATAGTTATCAATAAAAGCCTGATTGTGAACTGCTTAAAAATATTTAGTAAGCTGTTTTGGGTGGGATGGGGGTAGGATTTTGTCATTAAATACAGAAGCAGCCCATCCAGTGTGGCTCAGTGGATTGAGCATCATCCCGTGGACTGAGAGGCCCGGGTTTGATTCCTGGTCAGGGCACATCAGGGCACATACACGGTGTGGGCTTGTTCCCCAGCAGGGGGCAGGAGGCAGCCAACCAATGTTTTTATCCCTCTCCCTTCCTCTGTTTCTAAAAAAATCAATAAAAACATATTTAAAAATTTTTTTTTCTGAAATACGAAAGCAAAATTTGACAAGAACTAACCAGGGAATGTACTATGTGGTAGAGAGAAAGTCATTCTATTGCATTTTTTTTTTCCAATTGGTTTTAAAAGGAAAGTTACATTGCAACTGGGAGTGGCTCTTGAACTTGATCACGGGTTCAGGCCAACCGGCATGCTCTCTGGAAAACAAATTAAAGAAACACACTAAGCCCAGTACCTGGCGTTTGCATAGATGGATCAAATATTTATTACTGTTCTAGAAGCATTGCGTCTGAGAAAGAACCAAGCCATGTCATTGCAATCTACCGCGCTCATTGTAGGCACTTGGAAGCTGAGTTGTAATTTCCCCAGTTAAGCAGCTTATTTTTTCAATGATATTGGGACTAGAATGCATCAGCAGTCCTCTGTTGTACCCTCTGCAAGGCCATTTTCCACTGTTATAAACGAAGGCGCAAGCAGCCTAATGCAGAACAGCAGGGCGTGATTCGATATAAGCATACCTTTGGTCAGCACATTACTGCTTGTTGGACTGAATCTCATAGTTCAGCATTTCTTGTTTCAGATGAAAATGTTACAGGTATTACATCTGCATAATAACACATTGAATTTGGAATTTCAATTGAATTCTCATTGAAGATATTTTAAAAAGGTGTTTCCCTGGTTAAGCAAATGCTACATGTTGGTTGTAAACTAATTAAATAATTGGTGCAGTTTTTCTGAAGTCTCTACAAGCTCGGGGGGTCATCTAATTACGGAGGCTCCCAGCTCCTTAGCCTCCCCTTTCTAAGCTTTCCAGAGGTGGTGGCGGTCGGAAGAGTGTTTTATCTGCGGAGGTGTTTGCTAACGCAGAACTGGGGACGGGCAGCCACAGCCCACCCTACCCAGTGGACGTGAATCAGAACTGAGCGTTAGTCCAAAGTCTAAGTTAGCTCACACGTCCATGTTTAATGATAATACACGTTTTCGATGACTCTTTTGCATAGTTACACGTGATCTCATGCAGTTCTGGTTCTCCCAGCCCCTGAAACTCACAGACATGGGATTGATGACCCTTAGCTACTATTTCAAACGGTTTGGTCTTGTATTTCAAGTTCTTGCCTTGGTGCCTTGACCATTCTGTAGCCCGCACCACCTGCCTTGGTTTACAGGCACTTTGGAGGCTGCTGGCTCGGGCAGCGGTGTGGTCAGCAGGGGGCAACACAGCAGGATGCTGCCTTGGCCAACAGCCAGAATCGTGCCTTAAGCCTTTTCAGCTGAATCTCCTGGCTAGGTCCTCCTGCCCCGTTGACTTCAGAGCAGTTTCTCCTATTGCTCGCTGGGCTCTGCAGTGCAGGCTGACATGCTCACGAGCAGAGCTCCAGGCCAGGGAAGTGTGTGTTGGCTCTGAGAGCCCTGCGCTCTCGTGTTCAGCAAGGCTTGTCCTGAACCGGATGCGCCACAAGGGTTAGTTCAGCGCTAATGCCATCTACTGTGCTTCCTTACAGCCACACACACAAAAAATCCAGGGTTGACATTTTAAAAAATTTCAACTCTGCAGATATAAGGACTTGTTTAGCAGGACCTTGAAAATGTATTCTTCAAAGTGACAAGGAAAAGAATAGAGATAGTAGATGAAAAATCACAAAAGATAGGAGAGCACTAGGCTTGGGGTCACTTGGCTACCCGCCAGCTAGTCAGTGACCTTGTCAAGTCCCTAACGGCTCTGAACCTCAGTTACTGTGTCCATGAACGAGAGGCTGGTCCAGGGATCTCTGCAGGCCTTTTCAGTGCCGTCTTTTGATGTGTTTCTACTTGAAGGCGGTAATTGGGCCATTTGAATACAGCATCCATGCATCAGATGAATAAGGTCTTACCACCAGGGTACCTTTAGCTAGATTTACTGAGTTCACAGTTGCTAAATTTCTAACTTGGAAAAAGAAAATATTTTATTTTACACAATCAACACTTAGTTTGTAAAGCAACATTCTGTGTCGTCCGTTGTCTGTCTTTGTATATATATTTATTATTATTATTAATTTATTTTTGTTACAGATGTTTCTACTTTTCCCCCCATTGATACCCTCCTTCCGCTCCCCCTCTCCCCGCCCTGCCTCCAGCACTGTTGTCTATGTCCGTGGTCATGCGTACATGCATATAAGTTCTGTGGTTTATCTCTTCCCTCCCCCGCCCCAAGTTTGTCAGTCTGAACCCTACTTTTATATCTCTGGGCCTATTTTGTTCATCAGTTTGTTTTGTTCATTATATTCCACAAATAAGTGAGATTGTGTGATACTTGTCTTTCTCTGACTGGCTTGTTTCACTTACGATAATAGTCTCCAGGTCCCTCCATGTCGTCTCAAAGGATAAGAGATCTTTTTTTCTTACAGCTGCATAGTGTTCCATTGTGTACATGTACCACAGCTTTTTAATCCACTCATCTATTGGTGGACACTTGGGCTATTTCCAGATCTTAGCTGCTACGAATGTAGAGAAAAGGGGACTCTAGCACACTGCTGGTGGGAATGCAGACTGGTGCAGCCACTCTGGAAAACACTGTGGTGTTTCCTCAAGAAGTTAAAACTTGAACTGCCATTTGACCCAGTGATCCCACTTCTTAGGAATATACCCTAAGAAACCTGAAACACCCATCAGAAAGAATATATGTATCCCTATGTTTGTGTCTTTGAATTTTTGATAATTTGTGGAACACTTCCAAATTAGCAGACGCTTTGTGGGTACTTAGTATATTTCATCTCACTTAGTGCTCACAAGAGCTACTCAAAGACATGGCTGTAATTCTCATTTAAAAAGTCATAGGTGCCCTGGCCTGTTTGACTCAGCGGTTAGGCGTCGGCCTGTGGTCCGGAGAGACCCAGCTTCAGTTCCCGCTAAGGGCACGTACTTTGGTTGCAGTTTGTCCACAGCCCTGGTTGGATTGTTTGGGTGGCAACCACTCGATGTGTCCCTTTCACGTCGATGTTTCTCTCTCTCTCTTTCCCTCCCACTCTATCTGAACAAAAAATGGAAAAATGTCCCCAGGTGAGGATAAATAAATAAATAAATAAAAAGTCATAGGAACTGGGGTTCAGAAGTGTAGTGGTTGAAGACCCGAGGGCTTTAATCCTGCCACCAGCACCTCTCACTCCTGTGGCCCTGGGCCAGGGAAGGACCCTGCTGAGCCTGGGTCTCGTCCTGAATGAAACGGGGTTGGGTGGGACATGTATGTGTCTGCAGGGGAAGGGGACAGGACGCTCGTGAGATGTGTGCACTGACTCATCAGTGTCTGTAGGACTGAGAACAACTTCATGCCGATGACCTTTACTACTTAGATGAAACGGACAAACTTCTCAAAAGATGCACTTTACCAAAATGAGAACAAAATGGCCCTGTGTCTGTTAAAGGGATGAAATGTGTACTGAAAATCTTTCACACAAAGAATACTCTAGGCTCAGAGAGCAGCCCTGGATTCTAGAAAACATTTAAGGTCCCTAATTGATCCATGCCAGTCCCAGAATGTGTGTAATTAATAGCAGCAGGCTCTGTAGCACAGAGGCCGAGGGTCCCAGGTCCACTCTGCCACCTGCTCCAGGACCTTGGTGAAGCTACTCAGCCTCCTGTGGCTCAGAGTGACATTCAGATTAAATGTGACCAAATATAAAGTAACTAAGACATGTAGTATTTATTATTATCATGAAGTTGATACCAGCTCTGCAGAAGTCTGTGAACTGGCTTATCCTTAGCTGTGTACCCTATCTGCTCTCCCAATAAATGCCCAGTCTAGAGCTCAGATGTGGCGGGGGTGGGTTTAGGGGCTGACAGCATTACCACTGTATCTGAATAGGATTTAGTGGTTTTAGGTGGAAATGAGGTTGTCAGTGCTAATCTTTCTTAGAAGTGTCAACTTAAAATCTTCCTGTATTGACATCCCCCCGCCCCCACTTTGGTAATTTAGGTATAATTCTTCTTAACACAGCTTTAAACTGAATAGGGTTGATGGGAAATAATAGCTGCCTTCCTGTGTGTGAGGAGATGTCATCTGAAAAGTGTACCTTGATTCTGTTCAGCTCCAGGAAGCAGGAGGGTATGGTGGAAGCTGCTGGAAGGAGGTTTGGCTCTAAGTGGGGAGGAACATGCTTGGAGCGCCTCTCTTAGTTGAGATCAAACGTCCCGTTAGAAGCCACATTGGGAAATAGAAGCCACGTAGCCGCAGTGTTCACTAACGTGCGCTCAAACGGTCTGTTCCAGCTTCTGAAAATGACTTGCTGAACAAGCGCCTGAAGCTGGATTACGAAGAAATCACTCCCTGTCTTAAAGAAGTAACGACAGTGTGGGAAAAGATGCTCAGCACTCCGGGAAGATCCAAACTTAAGTTTGACATGGAAAAAATGCATTCAGCTGTCGGGCAAGGTAAGCAAACCTCACCCCTCCCTGATGGTAGGGGAGAAGTATGAAATTTAAAAAAAAAATGTTTAAGTCCAATTTCAGTGGGCCCCTCTCCCCCATTTATCATTCTTTAATTAATCTGTCTCCAGATATTAGTTAATTGATGTGACTTTCATCACTGTTCATGATTCCTCTTAAGTAAACCCATTAAAATGCGCAGGAAACAGGAAGAAGAGAGGAAAACCCAAGGACTTAGTTGCCTACAAACTGAGTGACGATATGATGATACATTCGGAGTTAAATAGTAAGCTGAGAACTCATTGTGTGGCTTCTCTGAGTGCTCTCAGGAGACAATGTAGAGTGTTGGGCACAGACTTTAGACAGGTCATCTCAGATTCAGATCCCAGCCCTACCAATCTGCAGTGTGATCTTAGGCAAATGACTGAACCTCTCTGAGCTCCACTTGCCACGTGTGTAACGTGGTGATGAGTGGTGGTTGCGAGGAATAAATGAGCTGAGACCCAGGAGCACACTGCATGTGTCCACTCCACCCAAAGGCCCTGGAAAGGGTAGTTTTGCGGCTCTTTTCAATGTGATCTGCTGCCTGTGCACCAGTCCGAACTGTTACTGGCCCAAGAGGAGTAGAGAACTTGAGACTAAGCATTTAGAAATGGTCCCAGCCATCTGACAGATCTTAATACAAAACTTGTGGACTTTTGTCAGTCCTTTTTTATTCTCTTTATTCATTTGTTACTGTATTTTATAAAATTATTAGTATACTATGGATTGGAGATTTTTAAAAGGAATAACTGGTCCTTCATCACAGAGAGTTGGAGGAGCACCGTGTTAGAGCTTAACTTCGATGATGATTAGTCATCGAAGTGAAACTGCCATTTCTTTTAAAATGTGTGCGAGTGTCAGCTGCAAGGGCCGGAGCTTTCTGAGTCTAGTCTAATTCCAGTACTCCTGAGTTCTGGCCAGTCTAGCCACAAATGGCCAAGTGTTTAGAAAGAGTCACAAATATATATAAATCTTACAGTTTTCTTCTGACTTTATTAGCTGTTCCATGGAAGAAGTTACACGTCATTTATCTCTAAGAGTAAATGGAGCAAGCAGTTTTGTTCTGTAGTCAATTGGGCATTACCTAACCTTTATCTGGGTTTCGACAGCATCAATTTTAGTAATGCATTAGTTATCGCCACAGTTATGACTTCCCCCCTCTGTGGATAAGGAAACTTGGAGCAGTTGAGCAATGGCTAGGGAGCTGGTCTCGCACCCTAGTTCCACACTGCAAGGCCCTGCCTGTGGTTGAACTGAGCCTCAGCAGCACTCTCTTCTGAGACCAGAAATATGGCAGGTGTTGAGGACACAGGTTGCAGATGGGCCAGGGCTCCCTGTGTGATCTTTGGCAGGTGTCCTCACCTTTCTGGGCTCTGGCCTCCTGGCTGCTAGAATGGGAGGCTCTCAGAGCTCTCTTCCAGTTCTCACAGTCTGCACCCATAGTGACTGCTGGAGGCTTGCCATTGCACCACAGGGCCCCAGCGTGCTGTTTTGAAAAAGGAGAAAGCAGAGAAAAGAGGGAGTTCACTCTTTCCCTCTTTACTGTTGACTACATGCTGGTCTTCAGGTGGCTTTGCTTCTGCAAAAGGTAAATCATCAGGGTCTGTGACAGCTGTTCCAGATGTTTGACTTGCTTAGAAGCCTGACACCTGGACATATTGGTTTTCATCATGCATTTTAGAGGGGGCTAATAGAACTGCTCTAGGCACCTGGAACCTGCAGTGGAGTTAAGGACAGGTGGTTGAACAGTTGGCAGATGGAGGTGAGCTGAGGCTGACCTGCAGTTTCCTCGCGCATTCCCGTCATTGCCACATCACTTTCCGTGGCAGGAACTCAGTATCTCTAACTGCAAAAGGCTTTGTCAATTATTCAGCTGGTTTCAACACACAGGATGTAACAACTCCAAACAAATGGCCACAGTCTGTCTTGTAGCTCAGAATAAAAAAGAGAGAGAGAGAGAGATTAAATCAGAACCACACCTTTGGCCTCCAGGTAGAGGCCAAGTCATGTCCAAGCCCTTGAAAAAAGACGGTCCCTGTATGTGTAAGAGGCCCCTAAGTGATGGGAGTTAAGGGATTTATGAACTTTCCATGTTAAAACTGAATCGGCGTAGCAGGATTAGGATGTCAGTTTGGAGAAAGAAGAATAGTTCTGTGTAATTTTAAACATTCCCAAGTTTAGCTTGGGTTTAAAAGGTGTCTTTTATTTAATGATATATTTACATGATCTCATTGGTTTAACGATTAAAAGATGTTAAGTAGAATTGTATAAGTTGGAGTGTGCTTGCAGAGAGGCTACCTGAGTGGTTGGCAGTAGGGGCCAGAGGCAGGCTCTGCTGACCTTTGACCCAGCAATGGCAGAAATAGAGACCTAGATATTAACCAGGCAACAATGTTCTGCGATGGGAAAGAATGCTCATTGTGGCAGGAATAGCCATAAAAGAAAACAACCCAAATCCCCAACCCTGTGGCCCCACCCATGTCCCTGAAAAGGACACAGTAGATTTATATTAATGCAAAAGATGAGTTGCTAAATGGAAGAAAAAAGCACAGCGTGGTCTCGTGAACAGTTGTGTGTCTCTGTAGAAAAACATCATGACGTGTTCGAAGATGCCCGCGCAGCAAGCAGGATGGCCACACATCTGTTGTGCCTGGCGTAGCCCTGGTTTGCAGCCTGTTCCAGTGAAATAATTAGTATCCTTCCTCCCCTTTGCTTTCAAAAGCATCTTGCTTTGGATGGTGATTTATATATTCACTCTGGTTATGGGTAATTTTTCATTTTCTTCTTTATGCCTTTTGCCTTTTCAGAAGTTTTTATTGAAATAGTGAGCATGTATTACTTTTAAAGTCAGAAAAATGAAAAGGGTATTTACATTTGGGTGGGGGTTGGCTGCCTGCCCACCCAAAGTCCTGCTTCCAGGTCCTGGGTAGACCCCGCCCAGTTCCTCTCCCGAGCTAGGAGTGGAAGCAGAACCGAGCACGGGGAAGGTTATTCCAGGTCGTTCTTAGTAAACACACTGCATGATCCTTTGTTTTTAAATTACGCATCTAAGCTACCTCTTAAATATCAGAATATGTGGTACTGTCCAGTGACACAGCCAGTGGGTTTTTTTCCTCCAAAAAAAAAGAAAGGTCTGATAAGGTTAGTGGGAATAATTTAGTAATAAGAGGAAATTGTTCATCTCGTAACTGGGAAAATTTCCCAGTTTGAAAAAAATATTTTGTGAAAAGCCCCACTATAAATCACTGAACATGCTGTTTTTCAGGCTGCATTTATTTACAATATGGTTTGAAGTACTAAAGGCTAGCATATGTATGTACACGAATACCTAAGATCTGTCTCTGAGCGGGAACAGTAGAGAGGGGGAGAAGCAATAGAATAATATAAAAAGGGAGATATCCGGGGGTATTTGTCTTCTGTTGCTGCCATAACAAATTGTCACAAAATTGGTGACAATTTATTCTAGCGCATTCTGGAGGCTGGAGTCTGAAGTCAGGTGTCAGGGCTACATCTGGTGGCTGCCAGCCTTCCTGGACTCGGGCTGTGTGGTTCCAGGCTCCGCCTCTGCGGTCACATGGTGTCCTCCTCTGGTCTCCTCTGTGTGTCTCTTAGGAAGCCATGTGTCCTTGGATAGTGGGCCCACCTGGGTAATCCAGGTAATGATGTCATTTCAAGATCTTCATTCCATCTACGAAGACCCTTTTGCCCAATAAGTTAACATTCACATGTTCTGGGGATTCGGATGTAGACCTATCTTTTTGGAGGCCACCATTCAACCCACTGGGTGGGTCATTGGGTAACACGGAGATAAACATTCAGAGAGGTGTAGGATGTGGTCACAGTTAAGAGCAGCCCAATACTTCTCCCACGGGCAAATTAGTTTCTACACCTTATGTATTTCCAAGAGATGACTGTGCGTATTTGTTTCAAAATGGTTCCTTGCGGACCAGGCAACAGATTGCTATCTGGTCCAAATCCACAAATGAAACATGAAATATTTTTTCTCTAGTACGCCTGTGAGCGGCAGCGTGTCTGACCGCTGCGACAGGGAGGACATGGGTCGAAAGCGGCAGTCCTCTCCTCTGCCACTAACCAGCCGGGTGACCTCGGCAAGGATACCGGGAGGATGATGTTCCCCCAGCAGGTTGTGAGGATGACGAAGTGCTCAGAGTGGGGACAGTACGGGGACTCGCAGGAAGTGGGCTGCTGCTGCCAGAGGAGAAACTTCTCTCGGGAATGGCCAGTGGGAAACAGAACCCCGTCTTCCTGGGGGCTCCCCGAGGGGCAGGGGACTGCGTGAGGCTGCACCGTTCTCTCTGGAAGGGCAGCCCCTTATCCGGAGCTCGTTCCTCTTGGGAACTCCGTCCGGGATGAGGGTCGTCGTGGTGTTCCGTAGTGTTCTTTCCCTCCCGTTGCTGCCCTGGAGCCCGGGGACAGAATTCTGAATTGTGAAAACCGAAGAAATTTGAATTTGGAACACCGTCACTTTTTTCTAATGAGGTTTGCCCTAAATAACATCATTGACTTTAAGAGAACTTTTCTTACATGTAGACATTTTTTATGACTTTGACTTTGCGTGTTCAGATCAGTCCTATGGAATCACTGGGCAAAGTCTCTTGGATGATTTCACTCCTTTTCGGGTCTCCTCGGAGCGCCCAGCCGGCAAGCTTATGCCGACGGGGCCCCGTCCGGCCTTTGGCCCTTCCTGCAGCCCACTTTGCACAGAGGTGTCGCATCAAGAGTCTGGAATCTCAGCTTTGGTTGGGCTGTTCCCTCCCCAGCTCAACTACATTCCATGGCTCCCCAGAGCTACCCAGCGAAGTGCAGCAGAGGTCCTCAACCTGTGTGCCACCACCCCTTCGGAGGTCAAACGACCCTTTCATAGGGGTCGCCTAAGACAACAGTAGCAAAATTACAGTTATGAAGTAGCAACGAAAATAATTTTATGGTTGGGGGTTGCCACAACATGAGGAACTGTATTAAAGGGTCACGGCATTAGGAAGGTTGAGAACCCTGCTAGGGTTTCTCAAAGTGGTTGCTGAGCCCTCTGGATCATCTGGGGAGGTTGTTAAAATGCACATCAGCCTGCCAAGGCCCCTCTGGGCTGAGTATTCGAGCCATTGAAGTTGGAGAATCAGGTCACTGGATCCACCTGCACATTTGCCAAGATGCAGGAAGTGAGATCCAGAGGAAAGGGACTTACCTGGAGCCTCAGCATGGCTGAGGCAGGACTTCCACTGCCCCTTTCCCCAGCAGGAGGTGCCTCCCCCGACGGGCTGCCTAACCCTGGGTCCCAGCAGGCTTCCCGGGGGCTCTGTGGGTGAGCAAGTTGGCAGGGCCAGCCCGAGCACAGCCGCAGCGCCACCCGCTCTGGGTCCGGAGTCAGCCCCTCACTCTGGCCTGGCTATGCCAGCAGTTCATAGGAAACCTCCCCCCCCCCCCCAGGGCTCCAGTGTGGGCTCTGGGGAGTGGTGAGTCAGTCCCCAGTTCCTGAGCAGGAAAAAGGTGTCATTGGCAAGAGCCTGTCTGCCTGGACACGTGTGTGTTTGTACTCCTGGGGGAGTGCATAGGAGTGTCTGGGCCTGTGTGTGTGACATGAGTGAATTGGTAGCGCCCCCTTGGGGCTGGGTCCCCTGTTGGTGTACAGGCCCGGGGGTGTATGCAGATGGGCAAATGTGAGCACATGTGTTCTGCAGATAAGTGTGCAATCTCCAGCTGTTTGAGCTTGTGTGTTCTGCCTAAATGCATTGTGGGCGTCTCTGCATGGGTCTGACTTGATGGATGAGCTTGTGTGCCTGGGGGCTGCAGAACCATACGGGGTCGTAAGTATGTAACTGTTCTGTAGATCGGCTGGCATTTCGGGGTCTCTGCTGGTCGCGGGTGGAGGTGAGGGCCGCTGTACTCAGGCAAATCCTTCCCGAAAACTCCAAGTGCCAGCTTTCCTGGCAGTTGTCAGGCCCTGGGGACCCCAACTGCACGTACACACCGGGTCAGCCCCATGCACCACACAGGGAGAAATGGAGTCCCAGAGAAGGTACAGACTGTTCATACTTTTTATCAATCCATAAAAATAGAATAAAATAAATAGCACCTAGCACCATGAGTCTGCCTGTATGCTGAACCTTTTACATAGACTCTGTCCTCTGTCTAATCGAACCCGGCCAGCCTGACCCCTGCTCCCGCCCCACGTGGGCCCTGGGCCCCAGGGGACAGAGACACTCTCAGTTCCCTTCCTCTGACTTGTCTTCTCTGTTCCTTCCCCACACTCTATTCCTCACACAAGTGAAAGACTCTGTGAAATCTTGACCCCCTTTGTCTCGCCTCACTTTGATTGCTCCCCTTCAGTGCGATGACGTTGTGCGTGGTGAGAGGCATGCCTGGTCCTTTCCCAGGACACGCAGCCGGCACCGGACAGGAGCTGATAGCATTCAGTTTACCCCGGCAGATTCCTATGCTGCTAATCCATGGTGGAGCAAGACTCCAGATCAATGGAATAAAACAACTCTTTTTTATTACTAAGTTGCGTTCTGTGCATAAAGTCTCTCTCTGTATTTTCCACCCTACCCCCCCACCCCACCCCAAAGGTGTGCCACGTCATCACCGGGGAGAGATCTGGAAATTCCTAGCTGAACAATACCACCTTAAACACCAGCTTCCCAGTAAACAGCAGCCCAAGGACACGCCGTACAAAGAGCTCCTGAAACAGCTCACCTCCCAGCAGCACGCCATTCTCATCGACCTCGGTAAGTCTGCAGATCGATCCGACGTGGAGATGGAGGTTTGCTCACTTGAAAAATCTGGGGAGCCTGTCCGAGTTATTTAATGATCTGCCTTTAGGTCCAGCAATCAGAATTGGCGGCTGAGCCTTTCAATTAAAAGAGCCCTGGAGTAATCACAAATGGCTTCGCCAAGTACACATAAAACTCTCCCTTCACCGGGCAGCTGCTCACTGCTCCACGTGGGGTGGCAGCCACACGCGCTCCGCTCGTGACCGTGGTTCAGGTCAGTAACTCAGACGTTGATAGGAAATTGCACAGTCGACCGGAAGGAGCGTCCTGGAGACAGAGTGTCAGGACCCAGGCCTCGTTTCATTGCGGGAGCCACTCCCAGTCCTGCGCTGCTTTCAAACAGGGTTTATTAGAGAAATTGGAGAGAGCAGATTGTGTGCGCCTGGGGCAGTTGTATTTTGGAAAAGGGTAGGTACTTGCCTCTGGAATAGTTCTGTACACGCTGAGATGGGAACCGTGTATTGGACACGTGCCATTGTCACGGTGATGAACTCGTGTGATTAGGGTGGAAGCAGGATGCACAGAAGAGCCTTCTGCCGGCTCGCAGCCTCCCGGGGTGGAGGCGGGTGCACCCTGGCCTGCCTGCCGCCTCCCTGAGGGGCCTCCGTCCCCACTGGCGGCAGGGCTCCTGGGAGCCCCCTGGCCCGTGTGAAGGCTGCAGGAACCTGGCCCTGCTGCTCGCAGAGCTTGTGGCCCTGCTTCCGGAATATTCATCCTGGCTGTTGCTGCTGCCAGTGGGACTTGCTGGAGCTTTGGGCCTGGGAGTGGCCTGGCTCTTTGGGTCCCTGCAGCAGCCAGGAGGGGAGGACATTCCTAGTCATTTGATGGGGGAGCTAGATCAGGCAGGATCCAGCCGCACAGCAAGCCGTAAGGGTCAGTTTCACAAATGGTGCTCTTGGTCTAAGCTCAGATGTCCTCTCTGAGCAGCTGGCCCTGGCTGCGGCGCTCCTCCCACCTTCCACTGGATCAGAGGCCTCTGTTGAGCCCTCTCTCCCACCCCGTATCCCCCGCCCCCATGAATACTTACCACATTTACTAGCATCACAATTACCATTGCTATTTAAAGCTCATACTCACCTTTACCTTACACTACTTTCTGCAATCTTCAGACAGGATTAGCCCTGTTTAGAGGGAGAACTGGGAGGCGCAGAGAGGTGGGGTCCCCTTGTGTGCCCAGCGCCGCCCTCCCATGCGATGCAGCTTCTGTGGGCTGGACAGGGCCGTGCCACCACCTGCCCCAGCTCCCGAGCCGGTCACATAGCACATGCCCAACGAGTCTTGAGGTGTAAGGTGAGGCACTTTGCTGGCACCTCAAGCTCACGTGGCCCTCCCAACAGCCCTGAGATAGAAACAAGGACATCGAGGCGCAGACAGGCCAAATGGGGAGCTGGCAGCCTGAACTCCGGCCTGTGCGGTGAGGGCGCTCTGAGCCCCAGGCAGATGGCTGGCTGGGTAAAGGGGGTTGCTGACAGGCCGTGATTACACCTTGGGGACGAAGTGGGGCTGGCGCCCATTTGGCCCACTGACCCCGAGCAAAGTGGTTTTGTGAATTGGCAACAGCTCAGCTTGCTAATGTGATGAGTAACAGAAAAAATGACATCATGTTATCATGTGAAATGAAGTGAAAAATAAATTCAGAGCAGGAGGCCGAAAGGGAGGCTGCCCTCCTCTCCCCAGATCGGGGGAGGACAAGGGGACATGCTTCCCTCCCTAGATTCAGATGTTCTCTTCTGTCAGCTCTCCTCTCGTCCCTCCATGGCCGCCCGGCCCCTGTCCCGCAGATGCGTCACTTTCTGCAGAGGGGCAGGGAGATGCCAGCTCAGCACAGGCCTGGGGGCCACTCCTGGGCCACACCCGGGGTGGCCTCCCCTGCCCAGAGGCCCGCCGTATAAATGTGGGCACATGTTATTCCACTTTAAAGGTGACGAATGAGGCCCAGAGAAATCGAGTCTTTTGCCCAAGTTACAAGCTACAGAGTGCCAGAAAGTTCTAGAACCTAGGTCTCCTTAGTCTCCCTATCATGCCCCTTCCAGGACAGTGTATTGCTTCTGTCTTTCTTGCTCTGACCATTCCATACCAGCACAGCTTCCCCTCCCACAGTTCACCGGCATAATGCTCCTTCAGAGTTGACCACACTTGGCCTGGGGAAAATGGCTAGTCCCAGGGCTTAGCAGCTGTTACTCAGCAGATGATTCTCGAGGCCTCAGTTCAAGGACCTGCCCCACCCATTAGGCCTGCTTTCTGCTACGTCCATTTGTGCACCCCTCTCTTCTCTGGCTCGCCATCCTCAGGGGCCACGTGACTCAAGCACGCTGCCTTCTAGCTGGACCTTCTGCTCTAGTTGTGGCCACGCTGAAGGCTGCTGGTGAAGCTGAGCCACCAGCTGGACACCCCTCAGGCTCCACTTCAGCCCCCACCGCCTGCCACCTCAGCTGCTCCTCACTCTGGCATCCCAGCCTGGGCATCTTCCAGCGGTCGTCGCTCCCCTAGGGCCGCTGTCCGGCCTCTCCCGTGGCAGGAGGGACTTAGCTGGGACAGCCCTGGAACAGGTCCAGAAATGTGGGAACACCGCGCAGTCAGACAGCAGAGAGAGGGCCTGCTCCTGATCCCCCCCCATGTCGGTCAGGAAAGTGGGGGCAGAGTGTATGCCCCCTGCAGGGGTCTGGCGAGTCCTTTGGTGACCAGAAGCAGCATTTTTGGATGGACTTCTAGAGACCCTCTGTCCGAGACCCCTAAACAGTACGAGGCAAAGCACAGATCCAAAGACACACTCAGGTCAAGAGTCGAGCATGCGAGCTGTTGCGTTGATTTCTCCTTCCACTTAACTGTTTTAGCCAAAGGTGTGAAAGATGCCTGGAGTCCGGAAGAGAAGGAGCTCCAGTCCACGTGTCATAAAGGAAAGTTTCTCCTCGCTTTCTGAGAAGCCGCGCGAGAGGAGAAGCGCTGCTGAAAGGAAGCTGTGCCGAGGTGTCTAATGACCAGTACAGCGGGCAGGGTGCTGCCTTCTCCCCACGCGGTGGTCCGCTCACTTGGCCCGGCCTCGGAGAGCCGAGTGCTTTGTGCTGCGGGGGGGACGGGGACTGCTCCTTAGCAGCAGGTGGGTGCTGGTGGCGGGCACTTTCTCTCGTCTTTGGTCGAAGTCCCCTGTGAGAAACTGAAAAGCATTGGTGGCAAAGACAGAAGGGCCCCCAGACCCTTTCATGCAGCAGGCTCCTCATGCAGCACACCTGTCTGCGAGTTGGGGACTTAGGTTTTCGGAGGTCACGTGGGCAACTGCAGCTTAGGAGTCTATCGCCGCGATAGAGTGAAGCGGCGAGGGGCGACTGTGTGCAAATAAAGAATCCTCCTCGCGGAAATTCATTCATCGTGGCAGAGTCTGGAACTGATTAATGGGGGTAAGCGAGAGCTGACTGTAAATCCTTGCACCAATGGCTACACCTGTTATTCCTGGTCTGCCTTTGTCTCAGTATGAAGACCACGTCATGAAATATTCATTTGATCCTCCTGAGGATGCTCTTTGACCTCGGAGTGATGTACCTAAATGTGGGTGATGAAGGAGTCAGGTGGGGTGTGACTGCATTCCTTTCACAGAGGTCTGGAACCTTCCTACATCCTGCCAGCCGGCTCCCCCAAGCCCCTTGGACGAAGCCCTGGTGTTAGCATCTGCAGCTTTCCACGGTGTAGATACTCCCACCGTGGCTAACTTCAAGCTACCAGCGTGATTTCACTGAAGGCGGACTCGAGCAGAGATGCACACAGGGCCAGCAAGAGCCAATCCCAACGGCACTGGACTCGCCAGATGCTTCCTAAAGATGATCTGGGTGTAGAAGGGCTCTTCCTTCTCAGTCATCCCCCGTGTCACTCAGTGGAGGTTCAGCAGACACCTCTGGAGCACCCCATGCATTCCACGCCCCGTAGGAGGCACGGGTTCTAGTGGTTCGGAGCATCGGCATGGCCTGGCCGTTGGTGGCCTGGCTGTGCCGTCCGACTGCCACAGAGCCCTTCTGACTGAGCCCTTCGAAGAGGTGCTTGCTGGGGCCTTAGGACCGAGCATGAGACGCACACACGTGGCTCCTTTTCCGTGTCAGCTGGCTAATTAAGATCGTGCGTGTGGCAGAACTTGGCCTAAGGTTTGCTTTCACACAACAACCTGCTTGGGAGCAAGGCAGCGGGAAAGGTGGATGTAGCCGCCCCTGGAGGCTACCTAGGGAGCCCCCTCCCCCAGACGGGGGGAACTTGCAGGCCTGTTGGAAAGTGAAAATGCAGAGCCCATCGTTAAATCAAGAATTTCAGGATGGCGACAGAGCGTGAAACCCAGCCCGAGAACCTTCTGAGCACACAGCCCAGGTGACTGACAGGAAGCACGCCGTGAAGGCCCCGCCCACCTCTGACAACTGTGGAGTGGCCAGGTTGGCATACGGTGCTCTCCCAGCGGCCAGGCCCATCCTCTTAGGAGCCTTGTTACATGAGGAGTGTCCACTCCACAAGCAGGCCGATTGGGTGAGCTCTTGTTTCTGTGTGGTGCGGTGTCAACATAAGGGGGTGTCTGAGGAGCAGAAATGATGATATTGAAGGATTCAGTTCAAAACCAATTGAACCTCTCCTGATGCAATTGAACCTCCACGGGTGCACAGGAGCCCCGTGTGCTCTACCACCTGCACCAATTTGAGACCCAGAGGGCGTGGGGGAGGGGAGTGCTCCATCGCCGGAGGCTGGTGGGGTGATGGAGAGAACGGCTTACTGTGCGCTCCCAGTCCCTTTGGGAACCTGCAGACAGCAGCATGGGCGTGCTGTCCGTGCGAAGCTGCGTGGCTGTTGAGCACTGAGATGCGCTGGTCAAAACAGAGATGGGCTGTCAGCGAAGAACACACTGGGTGTCAAAGGCTTAGTGTGAAAGGAAAATGCAAAATGTCTCAGTGATTTGTATATTGATTCCATGTTGAAAATGACAATATGTTTGTTGTATGTGTTGGGTTAAACAGGATGTCTCATTAAAATTAATTTCACTGGTTACTTTTTCATGTGGCCGCTAGAAAATGTGAATGCTGTAAGTGGCTTGCATTGCAGGTAGTTGCAGTGCTGCTCTGGACTGGGGAGATGTAGGCGTACCTGCACCCTCGCACACTTGGCAGCCCTGCCTGCAGCCTGGAGGGGTTCACAGTTCCTGGGCGAACCCTGGAGTAGAGGGTGCAGCTGGGAGGGTGGGGGAGGGGGTGCGTGTGCACAGCTCCACTAGGGAGCTGTGATTGCTCTCCCAGTGGGATGACACGTAAGAGGTGTGTTGGGGAACATTTGTTGGGAGAAGAGGTAGATCAGGCAAGAAATGAATAGAGGACAAGAAATCAGGAAGGTAGTTAGGGGACTGTTGCCAGACTCTTAAGTTCAGATAAACCGCTCTGGATTGACAGATGCTTTCTCACGAAGCTGAGGAAGAACAGGAGTGTGTCCCCTTCCTTTTGCTGGGCCGAACAACTAAGCCCAGCAGTGAGCTTGCGGCCTAGATGCGCCTCCTGCCTGTGCTGACCAGACGAGGCCTGATGCTCTCCTGGCCCACTGGGCCCTGGCCGAGCCTGCTTCTCTGCCCCCTGGGGGCGCACTTCCCCGTCGTGGGTCACATTCCAGGAGAGGGCCAAGAGGGTTTGGCAGGGACCAGCCTCAAGAGCCTCCTGGACAAAAGAAGTCTTTAAACCTTTTCTGAATACCAGCGTTTTGTGTAAATAATCAGGATGTCGAGAACTTCTTTTTTTAACCTCTTTCCAGAAGGAAGGTAACTGTTCTATGTAAAAGAAAACACCTCCCGCTCCTCAGTGCATTTCAGCGTGCGGCCCGTGGTTTAAAAGCACGGAAAGAATGCGTGTGGCGGGGGCATTTGCAGGCCCAGTGCGGGCAGCCTGAGGGAGGCCGGCGGGCTGGCTGCGGCCGGGCCTTTGCCGCCTTCACAGGATGCCGATGCTGGGCAGGGCGCTCCTGAAGAAGCACAGCCAGCCCTGGCCAGTTCGGCTCAGCGGCTAGAGCGTCGGCCCTCGGACCAAAGAGTCCCGGGTTCGATTCTGGCCAAGGACACGTGCTGCAGTTTGTCCCCAGGCCCGGTTGGGGTGGTGCAGGGTATCCTCAGGTGTCGATTAAAAAAAAATTCTTTTTAAAGAACCACAGCTGTCTGCTCCTCTGTTTAGAGGACCAACTGTTGTCTTTTTGTTTCAGATCGAAATCCAGGTACCTGTAGGACCTAGGGTGGTTCTCGTTTCTTTCGCCTCGCAACAGCATGACCACTCGCCGAGGTGTTAATTACAAACATTGTTCCGAGAACAGATGTCCTTGATCACGGAGCTGACTAGGCCATCCAGCTTCTGCAGACCGTTACTTGAACCTGAAGCCCATTGGGTTTCTTCGGAATTACAGCTGCTGTGTCTTGTCTTCCCAGGGCGGACCTTTCCAACACACCCGTACTTCTCGGCCCAGCTCGGAGCGGGGCAGCTGTCGCTGTACAACATCCTCAAGGCCTACTCGCTCCTGGACCAGGAGGTGGGGTACTGCCAAGGCCTCAGCTTCGTGGCAGGCATTTTGCTGCTTCACATGGGAGAGGAGGAGGCGTTCCACATGCTCAAGTTTCTGATGTTTGACAGGGGCCTGCGGAAACAGTACCGGCCGGACATGATTATTTTACAGGTAGAACCTTCCTTATGTCTCCGATGGAGACAAAAAACACAATGTTTATGATTCCTTTCTGGGTCCAGCTAAGGAGCCTTTGCTTGCTTGCTTGCTTTCCTTCTTTTTTTTTAAATTTTACTTTTTAATTACAGTTTATATTCAATATTAGTTTGTATTAGTTTCAGGTGTTCATCATAGCGGTTAGAGATGTATATACTTGACCACGTGTTCACCCAATGTTTCCAGTACCCACCTGGCACCACACACAGTTATCACACTGTTTTTGACTGTTCCTGCACTGAGGAGCGTCCCACCATCAATCAGCAGGGTCACAGCGGCCTTCGCCGAGCTCGGACTGCTGGGCATGACACCAAGTGTTCCGCAGGCACTCATCTTGCGGCTGTTTCTGGGCGGGCAAACGAGGCTCAGAAGGGCTGCAGAATTGGACCAGGTCACACAGCCTGCCTGTCTGAGTCCAGGACCTTCCCTCTTATTCCTCATCAAAGCATCTTCAGATGGTCTAATTCCGACCTCCCACTGTGTTGGCTACTTCCTGTGCCAGGGACCCCACCACCCCGACCCCTTCTCATCCAGGCTCAGCTCAAATATCGCATCCCGGGAGACGCTCTTCCTGACCACCGCGTCCCCTCACGTCCACCCCAGGCACACTGTATCACACTGTCCTGTCTCATTTCTTCTGCATCGCACTCTCGCTGCCTGAAATGACCTTATTCACTCATCTGTTTATTTTCTGACTCTCCTTGGACAATATCATGAAAAGGGAGGGATCATGCCTATCTTGGAGCTGCGTCCGTAGTTTCTAGAGCAACAGTCCCTGGAATGAAGTAGACACCCAGTCAGTAGTTGTTGAATGAGTGAGTGACAGGAGGGAGAGCCTATCAAAAGAAGAGCAGACAGCAGTGTGTTTCAAGTGCCAAGTGCCGATACTGCCACCTTGGAAGTAGGAGGACACTGGGTCCTGTTGGGGAATCTTCCTAAATTTTGGAGCACGTGTTTATGTGTTCACTTATCAAGGAACTACTGTGGTTTCAGGTCCCCGGAAAGTATCCTTGGAAAGGATACATCAGCTCTAAGACTCTCAGAACAGCAGATTGTATGGTCGAACACCCAGTTCCCCTCCATTTGTGAATATGCGCCCCAGGGATGTCAATCTCATCAAAGGAAACCATTCCACTCCCTGGAAGAGTTGGGCCCACATAACACTTTCCGCACAGTCGGGTCCCTCCTGCGTTCCCTCTGTAAGGCTTGACGTAGATAGCTGTACCTGCCGTCCGAGGGCAGCGTTCTCACGCTTTGGGCTTGTGACCCTGGTGACTAGATTCTTTTAAACACAAAAAAGAAAAAGCTACAGTTGGTACTTAAGAGTGTTGTCTCAGCCCTGCAAACACCTTTTTCCAGTTTGGACAGTACACAGCCAGCTTGTCGTGTCTCGGTGGGGAGCTAACCCTTTCTGGGTCATCGTTCCTTTGGGCTCGGGCCACCGACTTCTGGACTCTGGGCTGAGCCAGGGACTCATTGTGGGGCTTCCTGCCAGGACCTGTCACACTCTGGAGAGAGAAGCCTAAGTTCAACTTTAGTTGGAAAAGTGTTTTCTTCGTCTTGAGATAAACACTTCTTATTTGAACTTGCCCAGGATCTACTTCGTGTGTTATAAACCTACAGAAATCCCACTTAGCTTGCTCTTGAGCGGTTTGGGGGTCCAGGGGGAACCTACCGACTGAACAGATACAACAGAATCCTCCCACGGAACCATCATGCACACTCACTTGACCTTAGCATTTATTTCGGATTCCCCGGGGCTTGAGTTTGCTAGGAATGTGCATTTGTAACAGAATTTATGAAGTGTTTCCACAAGATGGAAGTTTAGATTCTCTCAGCCAAGGGCACGAGGGGACAGTAAGAAGAAAGGAAGTGGACGGAGACCCAACATTAGTGTCCTGGGCCTGCACTAGCCAGGGCCTTGCATTCTGCAGACACCAGGAAGCTCTTGTTGGAGAAATGGGAAGCTGAGGTCAAAAGACATCTGAGCCAAATAGACTGTTTCAGATTCTAGGCACCCCTCTGCCCTGTGAGCGGGGCGAGCCGCTGCACACGCGTAGTGAGTGCTGACCGTGTTCCCTGCAGATCCAGATGTACCAGCTCTCACGGCTGCTCCATGACTACCACCGAGACCTGTACAACCACCTGGAGGAGCACGAGATCGGCCCCAGCCTCTACGCCGCCCCCTGGTTCCTCACCGTGTTTGCCTCGCAGTTCCCCCTGGGATTCGTGGCCAGGGTCTTCGGTAAGTGGGTGTAAATGTGAGCCAGACCAGCACCCTCGTGTTGGAGAAGAACCATGTGTTGTCACTCTACGGTGAGTCATCTTATTTTTCCACCTGCGTCTTCTGTAAGAACAGGGTGTGGTCTGACACTCCCAAGTGTAGTCAGGGTTGGGTTTTGTGAAATTTCAGGACCTTAACTCCTGATGCTCATTGGTCTTTTCTACGTGCCTTCATCTGGTGAGATCAGCCGATTCCCTCGCCACCAGGTCTCCCTGCAGCTGACATCTTAAACACCCAGCCAGGGAGCCCGGCCTGTGTTCCAGGAGACGTTTCTCATGAATCATCTTCCTTAGTCTCCCTGGCCTGCGGCGCTGTTTACTGCTCACTCCTCAGACCCTTCGGCCAATGCCTTCTGAGCTGCTGTTCTTTCTAGATTCTCTGCATCTCCTCCTCGCCTTTCTCTTCCCCTGCCCCCAGCTCTTCATTTTCTCTGCCGTAAAGCTCTTGGAGACCCCTCTGTGTCGACGATTTACTGTTCCATCCTCACCTGTCCCCTGCCTCGTCTTCCCAAATGTCACTGCCACTTCTGGGCCCTACTGTAACCGTAGGTTGTTCACACTTCAAACCATCTCCCTTTTAAAAAAATTTTTTTTCTTTATTGATTTTAGAGAGAGAGGAAGGGAGAGGGAGGAAGAGGTGGAAACATCGATGAGAGAGAACATCAATTGTCTGCCTCCTGAATGTCCCCCTACTGGGGATTTGGCCCACAACCTGGGCATGTACCCTGACCGGGAATTGAACCAGTGACCTCTTGGTGCCTGGGTCGATGCTCAACCACTGGGCCACACCAGCCGGGTTCATCTCCCATTTTCTTGATTTATTTTTCAAGAAGATTATCTCTGTCAAAGTAAAATAGGTAGTCAATGCACAGTCTCAAAACTGCCTTGTCTATTATACAGCAATACAAAATTAAAAATAACGTCCAGCCGATGTGGCTCAGTGGTTGAGCGTTGACCCATGCACCAAGAGGTTGCTGGTTCGATTCCCAGTCAGGGCACATGCCCAGGTTGTGGGCCTGATCCCCGTGGGGGCATGCAGGAGGCGACCCATAGAGGTTCTCTCTCATCGGTATTTCTACCTCTCCTTCTCAATTTCTCTCTCTAAAATCAATTACAACTAAAATAAAATAAAAATAATTTTAAAACTGTCTTACTTGGCAAGGATAGCCAGCCACATACTCTGGGATCCCAGGAGCCAAGTGAAGTGCTGTGAGCACACTCAGTTCTTGTATAGTGTGCCTTTCCTACTTCAGAATGTAATAATAATTTTGGCAACTCAAGTTCTTCTTGTTTTATGTTATTTATGGTGGAAAGGGAGGTTATTAAAAAATAGATGGTCTTCCCAACACCAAGTGATTTTAAAGTGTCACTTATGTTCAGTCACTTGATAACTTCAAGACCTGTAATTTTACCATCCTCTTTATTTTTTCTTAATTAATTAATTTTTGTTACAGATGTTTCTCTCCCCCCCCCCCACTGATTCCCCCCTCACCCCCCCTCGCCCTCTCCCCAGCTTTGTTGTCCATGTCCATTGTTCATGCACACATGCATATAAGTTATGTGGTTTATCTCTTCCCCCCACCCCCTCTCCTGGGGATAGTCAGTCTGTACCCTACTTCCATGTCTCTGGGTCTACCCTATTCCTCAGACTATGATCATTATATTCCACAAATAAGTGAGATTATGTGGTATTTGTTTTTTTCTGCTTGGCTTGTTTCACTTAGAATAATACCTTCCAGTTCCCTCCATGACATCTCAAAGGATAAGAGATCTTTCTATCTTACAGCTGCATAGTACTCCATTGTGTATATGTACCACTGCTTTTTTATCCATTCGTCTACTGATGGACACTTGGGCTGTTTCCAGATCTTAGCTATTGGAAATAGTGCTGCTACAAACATGGGGGTACATATATTCTTTCTGGTTGGTGTTTCAGGCTTCTTAGGGTATATTTTTAGAAGTGGGATCACTGGGTCAAATGGAAGTTCAATTTTTAATTTTTTGAGGTAACACCATATTGTTTTCCATAGTGGCTGTGCACCAGTCTGCATTCCTACCAGCAGTGTACTAGAGTCCCCTTTTCTCCACACCCTCGCCAACACTTGTTGTTTGATGATTTGTTGATGGCGGCCATTCTGACAGGTGTGAGCTGATAGCTCATTGTTGTTTTAATTTGTATCTCTCTGATGATTAGTGATGTTGAGCATTTCTTCATATGTCTCTTGGCCGTTTGTATATCCTGTTTGGAGAGGTATCTATTTAGTTCCTCTGCCCATTTTTAAATTGGGTTCTTTGTCTTCCTTTTGTTGAGTTGTATGAGCACTCTATATATGTTGAAAATTAACCCCTTATGTGATATATCATTGGTAATTATGCTCTCCCATACAGTGGGTAGCCTTTCCATTTTGGTGGTTGTTTCTTTTGCTGTGCAGAAGCTTTTTAGTTTGATGTAGTCCCATGTGTTCATTTTCTCCTTTGTTTCTATTGCCTTAGGTGATGTATCAGTGAAAATTCTGCTGTGTATGATGTCTGAAATTTTGTTGCCTACAGTCTCTTCTAGGATTTTTATGGATTCATGAGTCACATTTAAGTCTTTTATCCATTTTGAGTGTATTCTTGTGTAGGGTGTAAGTTGTGGTCTAGTTTCATTTTTTTTCCATGTAGCTGTCTAATTTTTCCAACACCATTTATTAAAGAGGCTCTCTTTATTCCATTCTCTGCTCTTGCCACCTTTGTCAAATATTAATTGAGCATATTGCCATGTGTCCATTTCTGGGTTCTCTGTTCTGTTCCACTGGTCTATATGCCTGTTCTTGTGCCAGTACCAGGATGTTTTGATTATAGTGGCTTTGTAGTATAACCCGAAATCTGATAATGTGATCCCTCCAACTTTGTTCTTTTTCAAGATTGCTGTGGCTATTTGAGGTCTTTTTTGGTTCCCTAAGAACTTTTGAAATATTTATTCTAGTTCTGTGAAATGTGTTGTTGGTATTTTGATGGGGATTGCATTGAATCTATAGATTGCTTTGGGTAGTATGGATATTTTAATGATGTTAATTCTTCTAATCCATGAACAAGGTATGTGCTTCTACTTTTTTATATCTTCTTCTATTTCTTTTTCCAATGACCTGTAGTTTTCTGCAAATAGGTCTTTTATTTCTTTGGTTAAGTTTATTCCTAGTTATCTTAATTTTTTGCCGCAGTGGTAAATGGGATTGTTTTCTTAGTTTCTCTTTCTGTGAGTTCATCATTGGTGTATAAGAATGCCATTGATTTCTTGACATTAATTTTGTATCCTGCTACTTTGCCAAATTCATTTATTAAGTCTAGTAAATTTTTGATGGAGTCTTTGGGGTTTTCTACGTATAGTATCATGTCATCTGCGAATAATGACAGTTTCACTTCCTCCTTTCCAATTTGGATCCCTTTTATTTTTTCTTCCTGTCTGATTGCTATGGCTAAGACTTCCAGTACTATGTTAAATAAGAGTGGCGAAAGTGGGCAACCCTGTCTTGTTCCTGTTCTTAAGGGAAATGCTTTTAGTTTCTGCCCATTGAGTATGATGTTGGCTGAAGGTCTTTCATATAAGGCCTTTATTGTGTCTACATATGATCCCTCTATGCCCACACTGCTGCACGTTTTTATCAGAAATGGATGCTGGATTTTGTTAAAGGCTTTTTTAGCATCTATTGATAAGATCATGTGGTTTTTATTCTTCATTTTGTTTATGTGGTGTATCACATTTATTGATTTGCGAATATTGTACCAGCCTTGCATCCCTGGGATGAATCCCACTTGTTCATGGTGAATAATTTTTTTGATGTGTTGCTGGATCCAATTTGCTAGTATTTTGTTCAGGATTTTGGCGTCTATGTTCATCAGGGATATTGGCCTGTAGTTTTCTTCTTTGTAATGTCTTTTCCTGGTTTTGGAATTAGAATTATGCTGGCTTCATAAAACGAGTTTGGAAGTCTTCCTTCTTCTTGAATTTTTTGAAATAATTTGAGGAGAATGGGTGTTAGTTCTTTTTTGAATATTCGGTAAAACTCCCCCGTGAAGCCATCTGGGCCTGGGCTTTTGTTTGCTGGGAGGGTCTTGATTACATCTTCAGTTTCTTCTGTTGTTATTGGTCTGTTCAAGTTTTCTATCTCTTCCTGGTCCAGTATTGGGAGACTGTGTGTTTCTAGAAATTTGTCCATTTTGTTTAGATTGTCGAATTTGTTGCCATATAATTGTTCATAGTAGTTGTTAACGATCTTTTGTATTTCTGTGGTGTCAGTTGTTACTTCTCCTCTTTCATGTCTGATTTTGTGTACTTGGGTTCTCTCTCTTTGTTTCTTGGTGAGTCTAGCTAAGGGTCCATCAATCTTGTTTATCTTTTCGAAAAATCATCTCTTTGTTTCATTGATCCTTTGAATTGTGGTTTTTTTTTTTGGACTCTATGTCATTTATTTCTGCTCCAATATTTACTATTTCCTTCCTTCTACTTGCTCTAGGGTTTTCTTTTTGTTTGCTTTCTAGTTCTTTAAGTTGTGAGATTAGGTAGTCTATTAGAGATTTTTCTTGCTTCTTGAAGTAGGTCTATAGTGCTATGAACTTCCCTCTCAGAACTGCTTTCGCTGTATCCCATAGGTTTTCTGTTGTTGTGTGTTCATTTTCATTGGATTCCAGGAAGTTATTAATTTCTTCCTTGATCTCCTCACTGACACATTCGTTATTTCATAACATGCTATTTAGCTTCCATGTGTTCAAATTTTTTTGCATGTTCTTGTTGCAATTGATTTCTAGTTTCATGTCATTGTGATCTGAGAAGATATGATTTCAATCTTCTTGAACTTGTAGAGACTTAGTTTGTGTCCTAACATGTGGTCTATCTTTGAGAATGTCCCATGTGCACTTGAGAAGAATGTGAATTCTGTAGTTTTGGGGTGTAATTCTCTGTAGATATTAAATCCATTTGGT